CGCAGTTATCTTCCGCAGTAAGTTTAAGAAAAATCATGTATATGTATATATGATTTAAAGGTTTCAAGCATGTATGTTTAAAAAGTATAGGTACATATGTATGTTAAGGAAACCGAGGTTGTAGCTAACAACCCTCGTTTTGAGTATTTAAGTTTTAGAACGTTGTAACAGAGCATGCAACAAATAAATAAATTTTAAACATGACGATTTAAATGATTGATTTTAAAAGGGCTTTAAGATGTACTTGAATTTAAGATTTCTCACGAAATCCGTTTTAAAGTCAAAATTAAATGGCCTGATTGAATTGGCTAGTTTTAGAAAGGCTTTTAAAGAGTATTTGAAATAGGAGTTCAAATGCTGCTCTGTTTGAAAGATATTTTTAGAACGTTTTATCTTAACTGAAATTAAGAAAAGCTTTAAGAAATTTAGTGATTCACTTATTTGAAATTATTGTTACAAATTATGAAAGTATTCTTTCTTATATTAAAAAAAAAAAAATGTTCCGCAAATTTTAAGAAACCCCAGTAAGTACAAGTTAAAGTTTAAGTTACAGTGGCGGCCTCATAGGAGGGTCGTCACAGAAACTTCAGCACAAGTTTGGTACACTCTAAATCTCTATTATGCTGCTCAAATTCGTGCCAAGATTTCTCAATATAAAACTCAACTCAAAAATATCAAGAAGACTTCTTTAATGATGAATGAGTATTTGTTGAAAATTCATCATTGTGTGAGTATGTTAAATTTAGTCGGTCATCCTGTTCCTTCTAAAGAGCATCTTGCAGCAATCTTTGAAGGTTTATCCTCTAAGTATGACACATTTGTTCTTACGGTAGAAGCTCGAAATGATGCCTTCTCTGTTGAAGAAATTGAGTCTCTTCTTCTTTCGCAAGAGGCTCGAATTGAGAAAAATCACAAGTCTCTTGATTCGGCTCAAGCTAATTTGGCTTCCTCCCATTCGAATGAAGCGAACAAAAAAAGTTTCAATTCTGGTTTTTCACCACAATTTGGGAATAATTTTCCTTGTGGGAATTTTCAGTCTCAGTCTGTCAGTAATTTTCCATCTCGAGGTGGAGGCCGTCCAGGTGGTGGTCGAGGACGTCACAATGGAGGCCGTGGCTCTTGGTCTTCTAACAAACCATAATGTCAATTGTGTGGCCGTACTGGACATGTTGTAATTGATTGCTATTATAGGTTTGATCATTCTTTCCTTGGACCTTCTCAATTCCAACGTGGACAGAGGCCTCCTTTCAACCCTAATGCTCATGTTACCACCACCAATTCAAATCCGTGTGTGGATTCGGTTCCTGCTCAAGCCTTCGTTGCCACCCCTGAGATAGTTACAAATCCAGGGTGGTATCCTGATTCAGGAGCATCCAGTCACATTACTTCAAACACGGACAACCTGTCTCAGATGACAGACTATTTCGGACCTGAACAGGTCTATGTTGGAAATGGTAAGGGCCTTGCCATCAAACATATTGGTCATTCCAGTTTTGTGTCTCCTTATGCTTCTAAAATCTTTTCCTTAAAAAATCTCTTACATGTTCCTGAGATTACAAAAAATCTTCTTAGTGTGTCTACGTTTGCTCATGATAATAACGTTTTCTTTGAGTTTCATTCTCACAAGTGCTTTGTCAAAGATCAAGTTACCAAAATTGTGCTTCTGGAAGGAAATCTTAAGAACGGGCTGTATGTGTTTGACCAAGCTCAGATGAATCTGTCTTCAAAGTCACCATCCTGTCCAATTTAATTCCCTGTTTCTCATGTTCATCAGTTTTCTGTCAATAATACAACAGTTAATACTGCTATTTCTTCTTCATGTTCTACTTTTGAGCTGTGGCATAACAGGCTAGGCCATCCATAAGCCAAAATTGTAACCACAGTTCTAAAGAGTTGTAACATTCCTCATAGCAATAAAACTCTTTCTTCAGTTTGTGCAGCATGTTGTCTTGGTAAAATTCATAAATCCCCTTTCTCATTGTCTACAACTTGCTACACTGCTCCTCTGCAATTAGTGCATACTGATCTTTGGGGTATAGCACCCGTGCAGTCATCAAGTGGCTACAGGTACTATATAAGTTTCATTGATGCCTTTTTCTCGTTTTACTTGGGTTTATATGCTTAGGAATAAGCCCGATGCAGTTCAAACCTTCATTAACTTTAAAACCCAAGTTGAATTGCAGCTGAATTTCAAAATTAAATCAATCCAATCTGATTGGGGAGGTGAGTACAGAGCTTTCACTGACTTTCTTGTGTCTCATGGTATTGTTCACCGTGTCTCGTGTCCACATGTGCATGAGCAAAATGGTGTTGCCGAAAGGAAACACCGTCACATTGTTGAGAATGGTCTAGCCTTACTTGCCAAGTCGTCTCTACCTTTAAAATACTGGGATGAAGCATTCCGAACTGCTGTCTTTCTCTATAATAGGCTCCCCAATTCTGTCCTTCAATTCAAAACTCCTTTGGAAGTGTTATTCCACACTAAACCTGATTTTTCCCAACTAAAAGTATTTGGTCATGCCTGCTATCCCTATCTCAGACCTTACAATAAACATAAACTCAATTTTAGATCCTCTGAGTGTACTTTCCTTGGTTATAGTCTCAATCAAAAAGGGTACAAATGTCTTGATAAGTCTGGCAGAATTTTTGTCTGCAGGGATGTAATCTTTGATGAAGGGGTGTTTCCTTTTTCAACACTGCCTTCCACTTCTCCCCCTCCATCCTCTTTTTTTTCCGTTTCCTTCCCTACTCCCGCTATTCTTGTTGTCTTCCCTATTCAGCCCTCTATTTTGCCTCATGCTCCTTCCACAACTTCGGTTATTCCTAAGTCACCTTGTCTTGTGCCTGCTCCAGGACCCTCTCCTAGTGAATCAATTGCTGTGACTAATGTTCCTTGTACAGGCACCCTTGACTTTTCTGTGCCTACATCCTTGGCACACCAACCATCTCAAAAAGGAAAGGAGGTGGTTAACTCTCATACTATGGTCACTCGCTCCAAGAAGGGTGTTTTCAAACCAATGGTGTACATTGGAGCCCAAGAGCCAACTTTAGTTCAGGATGCATTAGTTCAAAAACAGTGGAGGGCCGCTATGAATGATGAGTTTTTGGCCCTTCTACGAAATGGTACTTGGTCTCTAGTTCCTCTGCCTGTAGGGAGAAAACCGATTGGCTGCAAATGGGTTTTCAAAGTTAAGGAAAATCCAGATGGCACACTTAACAAGTATAAGGCACGGCTGGTGGCAAAGGGATTTAATCAAGTTGTCAGTTTTGATTTCAATGAAACTTTCAGTCCAGTTGTGAAACCAACAACAATTAGAGTCATGCTTACAGTTGCTTTGGCAAGAGGCTAGTGCATTAGACAGTTAGACATCAACAATGCCTTTCTTAATGGTGATTTACTAGAAGATGTGTACATGACTCAACCATAGGGGTTTGAAGATCCGAAACATCCTCAGTTTGTTTGCAAACTTCACAAATCGCTCTATGGGCTGAAACGGGCCCCAGAGCCTGGTTTGACAAGCTGAAAAATGCTCTACTTGCACTAGGATTCGTCTCCTCAAAGTCAGATCAATCCATGTTCATGAGGTTTCACTCTCAACATGTCACTTTTATTCTTGTGTATGTAGATGATATTTTGCTAACTGGAAGTGATGATAAGGAGGTGCAACAGTTAATAAAACAACTGAACAGCTGTTTTGCTTTAAAAGATATGGGAGAAGTGAATTTCTTCTTGGGAATTCATGTCACTCACACTACTGATGGTGTGCTTTTGTCTCAAAAAAAGTATATCATGGATTTACTATGTAAGGCACGAATGCAGGATGCTAAGCCCATTGGAACCCCTATGACATCTAGCTTCAAACTTTCAGCCTTTGGAAGTGATGAAGTGGACAGTCCTCAATTATACAGAAGTATTGTTGGAGCTCTTCAGTATGTGACCATAACTAGGCCTGAGTTGTCTTACTCTGTCAATAGTGTGTCAGTTCATGCATAGACCACTTGAATCCCATTGGCGTGCTGTGAAGAGGATACTTAGATACTTGAGAGGCACCCTTGACTTTGGTCTTCATCTTCAGAAATCTGCCCAACTCAGTTTGCTAGCCTATTGTGATGCAGATTGGGCTTCCGATCCAGATGATAGAAGGTCAACCTCTAGATATTGTGTCTTTCTGGGTTCAAATATTGTCTCCTGGTGTTCTAAGAAACAGCACACGATTTCTAGATCCTCAACCGAAGCTGAATACAGAAGCTTAGCAAATGTGGTTGCTGAAGTTACTTGGCTCTCCTCACTGCTCAAGGAATTACAGATTGAAACCTTGACTAGGCCAGTGGTGTGGTGTGATAATCTCAGCACCGTGCAGTTGGCTGCCAACCCTGTTTTGCATGCTCGGACAAAACATGTGGAACTTGATCTATACTTTGTAAGGGAAAAGGTAATGTAGAAACAAATTGATGTCAAACATGTTCCAGCTATCGATCAGGCAGCGGATGTGCTCACCAAGCCTATATCAAGTTCTCAGTTTCCTGTTCTTAGGCACAAACTCAAAGTTGAAAGTCTTTCAACCTTGAGTTTGAGGGGGGCTGTTAGAGATAACTAATTAGTTATGTTGTTATTAGTTAGTTAGATTAGTGTACACATGTCAGCAAGGCATTGGCCTTGGTTGTAATTAGTTAGAGCTTGTGAGAGCTATTTAAGGTATTACTGTATAGCTTATTCAATAATGAAAAAGATTATTTTCATTCATTAGAAAATATCTCAGCTTTCTTTCTTGAAACTCAATATAAAGAAATGACAAGTATAACTAAACTATGCCTTATAAATTAGGTTTAATTCAACAGTGTAGGATATATACCTGGACTCCAACCCAAAGTTGCTCAAGCTGACTGTACGGCATCTTTAGTTCAACAAGATTCTTTGGCTTAAAGTTCGACGGTAAATATTTTAGAGGGTATTCGTGCCACTCAAGATACCGAAGTGAACGAGGAAGACACTGGAGATCGTGAAGGTACACTTTGCCTTTCTTGACATAAGAGGAATTGTAAATTTTGAATAATCTCAAATTATGCATCTTGCTGAAAATTGTAGGCTCCAAGTGTATATCTCCATCAATTTTGGACTTGTCTAGGAATATTCCTTGAATTTTTGTCGTCCCCTGTCATAAAGTATAAGGTAGTATATATATGAAGAATTACGTAAGTGCTGTTGCATTATAGACCTGAGGAAATAATTCGTATCATCATTAGAACATAAATACAAAAGGTATTCTATATAGAGACATGTAATTCTTTTACATGAAAATTAGTATAATTGAACCTCAATTCAAGAAAGAAATATCATATCTAAGTTAGCTCCTAACCGCAGTCTAGATTTTCCTAAAAAAAATAAATAAATAAATAAATAAATAAAAAGAAAAGCCTTTTCATTGACGTTTTTTCTTTCTGAAAGTTGTAGGTTCCAAGTTGTTATCTCTTCGTCAATGTTGAACATGTCTAGGAATATTCCCTTGAATTTTGCAGTCCCCTACCATAAAGTATATATAAATTCTATTTGAACATGTAAACGATATAATAATTACTTAGAAGACAGGTAAAGTATTGATATATATCAGGAGAAAATAAATAATATAAAGTGCTCTATATAGAGACATTGTTTTTTGTGTGTGTGAAAGTAGTATAATTCAAGAAAGAAATATCATATCAATGTTGGCAGCAAACTACTGCATAGATTAAAAAAAAAAAAAATCATTGGTGTTCTCTCTGTTGGAAGTTCAAGCAATTTCTAAAATGAAATAATCGAAATAAGTTGGAGCTTACTTCATTATTCTCAAGGACTTGATAAGCATCTTCAGCAATCCATAGCCTACTTCGCTTTCCAAGGTCTGCAGATTCTTGACAAACAATTTTTTGGCCCATCTCTTGTAATAGATCATGCATCCAAAGCTCTTTATATTTGATAGTTATAAGAGACTTGTCAATTAGATCATCTATTCCATTATTTGCAAAGAAACCACAAGCATTTAATATGTTTTCTACATAATCTCTACTCATCCGGTTGAAGAAACACGCGATATCAAGAAATATATTCTTTTCTGTTTCATCTAGCTCATCATAACTTATTCTCAACACGTTTAGAATATCATTATGAGGAACAACTTTTAATTTACTGAATGCCATCTCCCAGCTTTCTTCTTTTTTGGAACGAAGAGAACCAAAGTAAGAACCCAAAACCGTAATTGCCAACGGGTTACCTCCTGCATACTTCACCACTTTTTTGGATAGCTCTAGGTGTTCTGTAATGCGAGAGTTTTCTTTAAAAGCTTTGAAGTTAAAAAGTTGTAGAGCCTCATCGCAATTCAATTCTTTAACCTCGTACACTCCATCTGCTGAAATCTTTCTAAGCAACATGGCATCTCTAGTTGTTATAATAATTCTGCTTTCGCCGCTATATTGGTCACGGTCACCAATCAAAGATTTTAATTGTTCTACATGATATACATCATCGACAACAACGAGCACCTTTGTACGACGGAGCCTTTCTTTGACAAAAGTTGGTCCTAAAGATGGGGTTCCCAGATTTAGATGTTCCTCCTTTAATAATTCAGCAAGAAGTTTATTTCTTAAGCTAACCAATGATCCCTTCTCTGATTCTTCCCTTACATTCGCAACAAAACAACGAGCTTCGAATTCAGAAGAGATTTTATTAAATACAACTTCAGCAAGGGTTGTTTTACCTATGCCGCCCATTCCCCAAATGCCCACAATCTGCACTTTCGGAGAGGAAACATTTAACAATCCTTTGATTCTTTCAATATGTTTGTCAATCCCAAACAGGCCCTCAAAAGTAAAATTTGAGGATTGGTCGCTGTTCAATTTCCTCAAAACATCTTCTACAATTGCTTCAACTAATTTTGACTCAGGCCTAAAACATAATGGATAGAAAGTGGTGAGTTTGACTAAAATTGCAACAAAAAGAAGCAAATTAATTAGGAAGGTGTGCATTTATCTTTTTCAACAATGCTGATGGAAGCAATTCGTTTTATAGCACAGTCTTAGGTTAAACTTTTTCATTCTCATGACATTTTGGATTTTTTCCTTGGTTTTTGTAAATTTCCAAGACGACATTAACGTTTCATGAGACAAAACAACACAGAAAAGCAGAAACTGTGATCCAGACAGTTTCCAATTTGAGGGGCCGGAGAGCTTTAAAAGCCGATTAAATATTGTTAGTGAATTTTGTACTAATAAAAATAATGTTAGGACGTACATAATGCTTTAATTTAAAGAGCGACATGTTGACGGTGAAATTTCATCAACAGGATTACGCCGGGTTACTTCTCGATATCCCGTTGGGTTACTAGCCTAATATTTGTTTTATGCTGGAAATAATGCTACGAAGTATTTGTTGTAATTTTGTGGTATTGGAAGTATGAGAATAACGCTTGAATGAAAGTAAGCACACACGGAATTTATAGTAGTTAACTCTGTTAATGAAGATCTACATCCACTTTGTAATGTATTTCTTTTGGGCTCTTTACAATTTACATAAAATCGACTCTCTCTTTTCCTTCGGGGCTCTACCCCCTTTTATAGCCCAAGGATTACTTCGTGGGCGGTTCTTCTCTATAGACCTATCCACTTGAGTGGCCTACTCCTCCATAGGCCCAAACCATAGCCTGTTAATGCGTTTTGGATTGTTCACTCATCTAATTTGTCTCCTATTAAGGCTCTGCAGATTCCCTGTAACCCTCCACCATCTGTTGTTGGGCGGTTTAGGGGCTCATAATTAATACCTGCACTACAAACATCTTCCAAATGCAGACGCAACTTGTTGTGTCAGAAATCTTTCCCAAGGTACGGACTCCGTCCTCCGCATTCTGCCATCGGCGTCTATGCTAAGCAGGGTGTAGCTTCTTCTGGCGGCCGACCCTTTCATGGCACTTGGATGAATCGCGCAGGTCTCAACCATAGGATTGACGGTCTAACGAGTCACCCCCATGCGATAGGCTTTTCACCATGCAAGAAAAAATGAGTTCCAGGCGTCGACAGTTATCTAACGTGAGGAAAACAGGGCCACGTAGAACTTTGTCACTATCCGATGTGTCAACCACATTTTCCCACACAACACGACAATTATATTTTTGGATGCATATAAACTAATAAGGGTAAAATACTTAAGTCTCACATCGTCTAAATATAAATATAACCATATATATATAAATACGGGGAAGTAGGGAAATAGCATTTTTAGGATGTCAAATTGTCAATAAAATTAAACACAAAGTTCTAAGAAGATTAAAAAATAGCACAATTTTGGTAAATGTAATTTGCTACACTATTAGAATACCAAAAATGCCCTCACTTATTTTGTTATTCAGAAAATTAATTTCTTAGCACCTATTCCTCCCCTTCTCTCTCCTCACCTACGCTCCCTCTCTCTCCCTCTTCCTTGCCACTCTCGGCCACTCTCTCTCTCTCGCCTCTCCCTCACGCTTGTTCTTTCTCTCTCCCCATCGTTGTTGCTCTCTTTCTTCACCCTTGCTCCCTCTCTTCTCGATCTCTCTTTGGCTGTCAACCTCTCTGGCTGTTGATCTCTCTCTCCAACTTCACTGTTAGCCTTGCAACGATCGATTTCGGTTGTGATCTCCAAGAAACTCTAAACAACAAGAACAAAATGTAATGTTGGCAAGGATATTGAAGATCATCAAATCTTGAATAACAACGAACAAACACTATCGCGAGGATGTTGCAGCTTTGGAGGTTGCTGCGATGGAGATCTGAACATTGATCATGGACCTCAGCGATCTTGAGCAAATAGTCTGATCAATCTGGTAAATGGATGATTTACGTACTCAGTGTTGGCTTTGCCAGTCAAACACGTAAATGGAGGATTTACTAGCCAAATAGAGGCTTTAATGTTCTAAATAGTAGTTAAATTTCTGTTAAATTCACTACAAAAAATAATTGTTTTAATGACACATACTAGACAACGGTTTTTGTCGAAACCGTTGTCTATGTTCTATTAAAAACCGCGCAGGTATCGATGGACAATAAGACAACAGTTCCTATGAAAACTGTCACCTATAGTTTAAATATTAGACAACAGTTTTGACAAAAACCGTCGTCTAATGTGAGGTGGACTTCAAATACTTGAGTCCTCTTTTTAAATTTCTTCGAAACACTAGCAAAACCCTCTCACGCCGTTCTCTTTTTTTCTCGCGAAGTCTGTCGCTGTCTAGCCATTACTTTCTCGCCTTCTGCCTTTGTACCCTCTACAGATCTCTCTCTCTCTCTCTCTCTAGCGCGCGCGCGAACTCCAGATACCTCTCAAGGCATGCTCTCTCTCTCTCACGAAAGCTACCCAGAGACCCGCCGCCTTCTTAACCCACCGCTGCCTCCCTCCCCGATTTTAGGTTTGAGTCTTTTAAAAAAAAAATTTTGAATTAGTTATTAATTAGTTTTAAGGGGTTGACATTAGACGACGATTTTAGGGTCAGTTTTTCTCCTTTAAGTGATTATTAGTAGAGATGTAACAATGAGCCGGACCCGTGGGCCCGCCCAGGCCCATCCTGGCACAGTGACGGGCCGGGCCGGCACAGCCCGTTACTGTTCAAGGCACGGCCCAGACCATAAATATTAGTGAGCTGGGCTGGGCCAACATATATCGGCCCATGGGCCAGACTAGGCCGGATTGGGCCGGCCCAGCCCGGCCCGTCTAGGCCTATAATGGCCCGGCCCAACCCAGCCCATTTAGGCCCATAATACTGTTATGTTTTTTCTTTTTTTTTAGTAATTTTGTAAACATCTTATGCATAATTATCTTTATTGTATACTTTTTTCCTTATCAAGGTTTTGTTCCACTGAGTTTTCCTTAGAAAGATTTTTATTTAATGAGGTAATCGTAAATAAAATATCATTTTTTATATTTCCATTGACTATTCAAACTTATATATTTGTTAACTTGTTTATTTTTTATTTTTTGTGATTTTTGTGATTTTTTATTTTTTATTTTTTGAATAGTCTAATGGTGGTGATGTTGTCTTGCGCCACCGTGGCGATTTTCTGGTGGGTTCCCTAACTCTCTTCTTTCTTTTGTTTTTTTCGGTCCTATTTCCTTTTTAGGTTTCCTTCCTTTCTAGGTTTCCTTCCTTTCTAATTTGCTTATTTAGTTAAAAAAAAAAAAAAATTTGTTTTTCCTCTCAACATTATTTAATCATATTAATCTTTTTCCTTTACATTTTCTCCCCCTTTTTTTTTACGTTCCATTTTTTCTTTCCTTTTTTTTCTGATTTTTGGTCTTTTTTTTTTTTTTCTTTTTTATCTTTTTTGGGTCATCATACCTTTTTATTTGCTTCTTTAATCCCTCATTTTTGTTTTTCCTCTAACCCTTGTTTAATCTTTTTTTCCCAATATATATCTTGTTTATTTTTGTTTTTCCTCTAACCCTTGTTTAATCTTTTTTTCCCAATATATATCTTGTTTATTTTTGTTTTTCCTCTAACCCTTGTTTAATCTTTTTTTCCCAATATATATCTTGTTTATTTTTGTTTTTCCTCTAACCCTTGTTTAATCTTTTTTTCCCAATATATATCTTGTTTATTTCCTTCTTTCAAATGTGATTCTCATAAATATTTTTTCCTAATTATCTTAGTAAAATAATTTTTTTTTTATGTTTGTTGTCTATTAACAAACAGCGAATTAAGATTTTTGTTATTAAAAATAAAAGTAATAACACAACAATCAAAACTTAATACATGAATAAAACTTAAAAAATTACCCCCACGTGCATAGCACGTCTCTCCAACTAGTAACGGTAAAAGTGACAAGTGAATGAGGAATTGCAATAGTTTCAAAAAGAAATATAGCATTAATAGTTAAAAGGGATTATTTTATTTTATAAATCAAATAATGATTAAAATTAGGTGGGGGTATGAGAGAGTTAAATTAAGTATTATGAAAGTTATCTCTATAAAAGGATATATTTTTCAATTCTTTATTAGAAAAGTATAAATTATTGGGGACATCTATAAATTTTTAGAGTATAAATATAACTACTCAAAATCTAATTCTTCTCCCTCAATTTTCTTCTCATCTCTCCTTAAACTCTAAAATGGTATTACAGCCCATTTGCTCAAACGAGCTAAATCGATCCATCAAATACAAGAATGGTGACTCTTAACGGAGCACTATCTTGCGATGGCCACTTCACTTAACAAGTTTTTTAATGAGAAAAATGTTGATCTTACCCTTAAACGTTTATAAGTCTAGAATTTTATCCCTTACTCTTGATTAGTACCCTTTTATTAATATGGTATTTGACTAAAAATTGTATTAATCAAGAGTAAAGGGTAAAAATCAAAACTCGTATACTTTTAAGAGGTACTTGCCAAGATTTTCCCAAATTAACCTTTTAAAGTTGAAGCTCAATCCTTTACAAAGTCTAGTTATGCTCCCTCAATTTTCTTCTGATTTCAACAAATGAAGTGACAATTAACAGTGTCTCAAAAGTAAATAGCATAATCATTAATCTTCAAAAGGTGAACCATGCATCTTTTATTCTTTTGGAAATGAAAGTAAGTACGTAAACCATCTTTGCACGTGATTATGAGAAAATAAATGAAATGTATTAGATTTGTTGCGATCTCTAGTAAAACGATACTACTCGGTTATTTAGCAACGATTACTCAACAAAGAGATTCGAAAGCTTGCAGCAATTAGTGAAGTGTGCATTATTTAGGCATATGTGGACATTGACACAATGAGTAGCTAGCAAATATAAAGTCAAAAGATTACAATTATTTACCTGATGACTCGTGAATCCCAACCAGAGAGATTGGCCGATTCCCTTAAAGCATCTATCCACTTTTGCAAAATCTCCATGCTGTCATTGAAGCGTGCTTCATGTTTTAGAAATGTGTCTCCATAACTTCCTTCTTGTTTCCGTATATGAGATGGATCCACCTCGTAAAAAATGGGTATAACCATATGTTTGTTTTCTGTGTGACGTTCAAGTATATGTACTAGTTCCATCAAGCACCATGATGACGATGCGTAATTCTTTGAGAAAATTATTATTGAAATCTTTGATTTCCAGATTGCTTCAACAAGTGCAGGCGATATTTTGTCTCCTCTCTCAAGACTTTTCTCATCTATGTAAGTCTTGATTTTCTTTCGCTCTAAAGCAGAATAAAGATGGCTTGTGAAAGTATTTCGCGTATCTTCACCTTTGAAACTCAGAAAAACATCATATTTCTCCAGATTGAAAATAGAAGAAGAAGAAGAAGAAAAAGAAGAAGAAGCACAAGCATCCATATCGATATCTGACCCAAATCACTCCCTAGCTTTTGTATTGCTTACAGAATGAAAGCTCTCTAGTCACGCTTTTGAGAAGGCAGATATTCACAAAAGCAAGACTTAAACAAGATAATGACTTGGCTCATGATCAGTTCATGCCACGAATTTCCACTCACGCGTGTTTCAAACAAAAGGGACATATAGCGCGTGAATGTGTGGCGATGACCAGTACCTAATACAAATTTCTGGGAAATGGAATTTGAAATTAGACAGAGACAATTAATTCGCACCGCGTGAAAGAGCCCACCATTTGATGATATTTGGTAAATGAGGAATGCTAAATACAGACTCTTATGCTAGTCTATTTTTTTTGTATGAGCAAATAGTATTCCTTAGCTTTTGTATTGCTTACAGAATGAAAGCTCTCTAGGCACGCTTTTGAAAAGGCAGATATTCATAAAAGTAAGACTTAAACTAGATAATGACTTAGCTCATCAGTTCATACAACAAATTTCCACAGACGTGTTTCAAACAAAAGGGACATATATAGCGCGTGAATGTGTGGCGTTAACCAGTACGTAATATAAATTTTTAGGAAATGAAATTTGAAATGAGACAAGATATAATTAATTAGCTCCACGTGACGGAGCCCACCATTTAAAGATATTTCATGGATGAGTAATAGTAAATACAGACTTTTATGCTAGTGTATTCTTTTGACATGATGTGTTACCCACTATAAGTCATCTTTTTCAATAAATTCACCAGAGTGCCATCTATATATCGCATTTAAACTCCAAATTCCACATCAACACTTGCCGCGTAAATGTGCAGCGATGACCCACCCAATACGTAACAAATTTCTGGAAAATGAAATTTGAACTGAGGCAGAGATAATTAATTAGCTCCACGTCAAGGAGCCGACCATTTGACCATATTTCATGAACGAGGAGCCTTCCATTTGATGATATTTTATGAATGAGGAATAGGAAGGCCCGGTTCATTTCACCGTTTAAGTTTAAATGAAATTTGAACTGAGGCAGAGATAATTAATTAGCTCCACGTCAAGGAGCCGACCATTTGACCATATTTCATGAACGAGGAGCCTACCATTTGATGATATTTTATGAATGAGGAATAGGAAGCCCGGTTCATTTCACCGTTTAAGTTTTTACCTAGTATATATATACTAGTATATTCTTTTGACATATTATACATAAACTAAAGGAAAGTAAGGGTTTTTTACAGTAAAAAATTTTTAAAAAATATCACATTTAATTTTTTTTATTATAGTAAAATTTTTTTAAAAAATATTATATTTTAATTTGAATTAAAAATTTAAATTTATAAAGTGAAGAGGCCTAAATATAGACTCTTATGTTAGTTTACTTTTTTAACATGGGTTGTTTCTACTTTTTCAAACCATCTCACTTATTTATAAGTCACCTTTTTAAATAAATTCACAAGAGCGTCATCCATCGTATTTAAACTCCAAATTCCACATTAAGACGTATTTTTCTTTTTTGGAATCCCCACATTAACACATACCGCGTAAATGTGTTGCGCCAATATACCTAACAAATTTCTGGGAAATGGAATTTGAAATGAGACAGATATAATTAATTAACTCCACGTGACGGAGCCCACCATTAAATTATATTTCGTGGATGAATAATGCTAAATACACTCTTATATATACTAGTATATTCTTTTGACATATTATACATAAACTAAAGGAAAGTAAGGGTTTCACTATTCACGCTACAGTGTAATGAACAGTGTCCTTCCTTTTTTACTCTTACAGATTTCTTCATATGATTTTTTTATTCCCGTTATATCCATTTTAACATAAAATTACTATATTGCCCTTTAGGTCAATTTATTGTGTTTTGGTTTGTTCTGACCGTTTTGGTCATTTTTACTCAGAATGAGTGTTTCATTTTTTCGTTTTTCGTTTGTGCCTTTCTACAACCTTCTGGATATTCGCTCTCTTTCTTCGTTTTTGGAGCCATTTTTTCCTCTTCTGTTTGTTTCTTTCTGCAACCTTCTATATCTTTTTTTTTTGCACTCAAATTGAGTGTTTTTTTTTCCCTTTTCGTTTGTTGATTTCTATGATATTCTACCTCTGTGTTTATTTTTCTTCCTTTTGTCGCAACTTTTCTCTATTCCTTTTGTTTCTTTCTGCAATCTTTTAGATCTCTTTTTTTTTTCATTTATGGACCAGATTTCTTTGCTTCTCGTGTTCTTTCCTTCGGCAACCTTCAAGATATTTTTTTCCATTTATGTACCAGATTTCTTTGTTTTCCATCTTCTTTCTATTTGCGTATATATTTTTGGATGATTTATTTTTTCTTTTTTTATTTTCCTTTGGTTGTACATGCACGGTCGTTTTTTCGTTCCTTACACCATTTGTTCTCTTCGTATTTGGTTTGGTTGATTTTTTTTGTTTCGGTTTCATGGATTTGCTCATTTGTTTCAGATCTACGTTCTTATCCACTTTATTTCTTCGTTGTTTGGTCGTTTACTTCAGATTTATGTTTTTACACCTAATTATATTGATATGTTTGTTCTAGCTTTGTTGGTTTTCTGGGTTTCAATTTTCCTTTCATTTTTGCAGTCATTTTTCCCATTTTTGTTTTTATGATTTTTGTGGGTATTTTGGGTTTTGTTATTTTGCTTATGGTTTTTTATTAATTTGTTTTTTGGCCAGTATATTTGCGGAAAAATTTTCACTTTGTTGTTTTTTTTTCAGAATTTCAATATTTTTCCCCTGTTATTTATTTTTTCGTCTCTTTTTTTGTTTACTATATTTTGATTTCTTCATTTTTTTTAATAGCATTTCTGAATTTGAGCAAATATCTAATATTTATCGTGATCTAAATGTATTAATATTTATGTTAATCCTTTACCTTGACACGTGCATTTTTTATTTTTTCGTTTTGTATGATATGTATCTAAAATTTAACTGTCTCTTATTTACTGGTTACGTTTTGCGGTGGTCTTCATGCTATGTGACGCATGTCGTTAATTAATCATTACTTCTATTATTTTGTGTTTGCAGGGATTTATACCCGAGATTAAGCAAAACATTGGTAACTTTCTGTATATATATTGTGTGTTATTCTATTGCTATAATTATCTACTCTTTCTTTGTCTTCTTTTTTCAGCTAATATTATCTATCATGTTCTATTCTTTTTTATTTCTCACTGTTTAAAGAGCCTAATGATACCAGCCATTTCTTACTAACCTTACCGCCTCCTTTATATTCCTTTGCTCTCTTTCTGCTGCTTAGTAGTTTTGGTTTCTTTCCTTCATATATCGTTTTGCCCGTGGTTCGTTGAATCAGGTATTCACTTTTTTAATTTACTTTCGTTGAAATTTTTTAGAATATTGATTTATAATGTTATGTTTATTTGTTATATGAAATATTTTATTTTGTACTTTTACTTTTTTTCTTCTCTACTGTACTCTTAGTCTTTTACTGCTATTCTATTTTGATTACCTGAGATTTGATACTTACACAGTGTTTCTAAGTCTTAATAAAATATAATGTCTATCTTTATCAAAAATTCAGTTTCTTATATCCAAACATTTTATTATCTTCTGGTTGTGATGATGTTATATTTCATTTGTGGTTAACATGTGCCGGGTAATTGTTATTACAGATATGGCTGTCATTGATGTTGCCCTTATTAATTTGGACTTATGCCAATATATTTTAATTTGTCTTTTATTTTAATTTTACTGTAACTTTGTATTTATAAAAAATGCTTTTGTCTATGATTCTATTTTGTACATTCCCGTTTGTTTCCTCTGCACTTTATTCTTTTTCTTCTCCAGTATACTCTCGGTGATTTACTGTTATTCTTATTTTATTAACTGACATTTGATATTTACACAGTATTCCAAATCTTATTACAATAAAATGACTTTCTTTATCAAAAACTCTGTTTTTTATATCCAAACATTTTATTCTCCTCCGGTTATGATGATGTTATATATCATTTGTTGTTAACGTGTGCTGAGTAATTGCTATTACAGATATGGCTATCATTGATGTTGCCCTTAATATTTTGGACTTATGCCAATATATTTTAGTTTGTGTTTTGTTATAGTTTTACTGTAATTTTATATGGTATGGTTTTAACTTATTTCTTTTTCTTTTTTTTAGTGAACAGTGAAATCTTTCCTTTTCCTTAGTATATGTATAATACTGTATATCGCTATTCTAAACTATACTAATATTTCTTGCTCTTGGCATAAACTCCTTAATAATGTAGTTGGTAGCCATGTATATTGCCAGATTTTATTTCAATTACTTATGGTATATATTATTCACAATAAATGAATATGATCTGAACCAAATATTTATATACAACATTATTTCTTTTAGATGTTTCTTTATTTTTTTATATACTGCAATTACTTTATAATGTAATAAAAAACTATACCTTATTTCTGTACATAGATTTAATATTTTATTTCTATACTAATTTTTGTTACCTATGGCTTAAATTCCGTATTAATATAGATGGCAGCCGTGCATATTGCTAGATTTGTTTCCAATTACTCATGGTATATGTTCTTGACAACAAATGATTATAACCTGAACCAAATATTTATATATAATCTTATGTTTTCTAAATGTTTCTTCATATATTTATAATCTTTACTCAATTTACAGTATAATATAAATCATTTATTTTTTCTATACACAGCTTTAATTTATGTATATGATATGTTAGTGCACCTAAGTATATTGCATAAACTATTTGATTCTTATTTTTTTATATTGTTCTATCATGTTTCCCTCTGTTTTTTTTTCTCCCGGTTCTGTATATGATTCTATTGTGTACTTTTCTGTTTATTTTTCTTGCGCTTAACATTTTTTCCCTTCCAGTCCACTCTCAATTATTTACTGCTATTCTTATTTGATTGACTAACATTTGATATTTACACAGTGTTCTAGGTCTTACTACAATTTAATGCCTTTCTTTATAAAAAATTTAATAAAAAAACATATCTTCTTTCTATATATAGATTTAATATTTTATTTATATACTAATTTTTGTTACCTATGGCATAAATTCCTTAATAATATAGATGGCAGCCGTGTATATTGCTAGATTTGTTTCCAATTACTCATGGTAAATGTTCTTGACAACAAATGATTATAACCTGAACCAAATATTTATATAGAATCTTATGTTTTCCAAATGTTTCTTCTTATATTTATAATCTTTACTCAATATACAGTATAGTATAAAGCATTCATTTTTTCTATACACAGCTTTAATTTATGTATGTGATATGTTAGTGCAACTAAGTATATTGCATAAACTATTTCATTCTTATTATTTTTTATATTGTTCTATCATTTTTCCCTCTGTTTTTTTCCTCCCGATTCTGTATATGACTCTATTGTATAATTTTCTATTTGCTTTTCCTGCGCCTAACATT